CAAGTTTGAATGATAAGTTAGTGACAAGCTCTTTTCAGATGATCTCTAGGGGTAGAATGAATGTATATACGGGGAGCTGGAGCAGGATCACAGAGGCAAGTTCCCCCTCCCGCATCGCCTCTGGATCTAGTTGTGTTCACTTGAATAAATGTATCTAGAGCTACATCCATGTATTCAGGAGCCCAGGCTCTCAATTATGTAAGGAAAAGCTGTATTTTTACATGCTTGTGACTGGCTCTATACAGTAGCTCAAAATAATGTACATGAGCCAGGGAAGGATCCTGACTTGTTTCCCCAACCCTGCACTTTTATTCTATCTCTATTTGAAGAGGGTTACCCAAAATATTTAAGAAAGCTGAAAGTGATTGGGCCATCGTTGCTCATGGCATACAGCTGCACTTCTTTTGCTCTTGTCTCTGGTCAAATAGGTTTCGTGGGTTTTTGAAGCACTTCATAAACTCGAGAATCCTCGTGGCCAATCAGAATCAGGAGCTGGATAAAAGACAGCCCTGTACACATCATGAATGCATGGAGATGGTTGTATCATACTGTTTTCCAGTCCCTGGCGGGGGTGGGTGAGGAGGTGGGAAAACTACTATTGTCTATCTTTAGACAGAGTACAGAGAACCTCGGGCCTAATATACAGTTACAAGCCAGCCCATAATTACTGCTTCTTTTTTGCTTCCCCACTATCTGTGTTATGAAGTGGGTTGCCGCATGGATAAACGACCGACGACGACGTGGTGCATGGCACGTTTTATTTGGTACACAACAAGAACAAGGAACAAACGGCCGGCAGGCCAACTATATACATACCTGGGGACACACCCCTGGTCACCATTGGTGGGTTTGAATCTCCCGCCATGGTTCCCATTGGTTCCCCTGTGGAAGGACTAGGAGCCTAGTCCCTATTGTTCTCCCAGAGCCAAGCTCTGGCTGTTCGCTGGCCCCCGGTGGTGGTCAGCATACACTACAATCTGCAGTTTACATTTCTTATATAACTAGGAAGGAGGACCGTTGTACCAAGAGACAACAGGCGCTAGCTCGGGCGGCGGCCTCCCACCCCCCTGGCTGCTCCAGTCCCCATCGGGCCAAGGTGCGCGGCTCCCTCCCCCCACCTGTCTGAGGCCCTGGCGGGCCAAGGTGGCCGGCCAGAGCCCCTCCCACAGGACGCTTGATGGGTGGGCAGGCCAAGCCGCCCAGCCTGCCCCCCACCTGCTGGAGGCCCCGGTGGGCCAAGCAGTGTGGCATCATCCATCTTCCGACCACCAGCTCGAGCCACCAGCAGGCAAAGGTGGTTGGGCGTGCCCCCCCTCCCATGGCCAGACCAAGGCACCAGTGGGCAAAGGCGGCCGGCCTCATTCCTCCCCGCCTGTTGGAGGCCCTGGTGGGCCAAGGCAGATGGGCTTGGGCTTCTCCCTGGTGGCCGCGTGAGCCGCGACTGTGCGAAGGCGGGCAGCCTTGCCCATAACTTCCTTGGGGCCCCCTCGCCCACTGGACGCCCTGGCAGGCCAAGCCAGCTGGGCGCGTCCCTCCCCCGTCAAGCCATTCAAGGCGCAGGTGGGCCAAGCCAGTCAGGCTCGTCTCTCCCCCCCACCCATTCGAGGCAGGCCAGCCGCCGGGCCCTGGCCACCTGCACTGGCCATTGATCCGGGGGGAGCAGCTGCAGAGGTGGTGCAGAGACGGGCAAGGCGCTGGGGAGGCATGGCAGTGGTTTGGGCCAAAGGAAGACAGGAGGTGTGTTCAGCAGAGCGAGGACACTGACTTCTGAGGCACGTCTGGGCTGGTGCCGCCTGTGTGGGTGGGAGTCTGAGAATGCAGCCAGTGGCCATGGCGCCTGTTGTGAGTGGCAGTTCTTGCAGCCAACTGATTTTGGCGTGAATCGAATCCTGCCACTCCATAGGAGAGATGCCACCGCAAATCAGCTTTATAATATAGGAGAGATTCTGAGATCAATGAGCCTGCCTTGGCAGGGAGGGCGGGGTATAAATTGAATGAATGAATAAATAAATAAATAAAATTAAACACTGATGGTTTTTACAGTCTGGACACCATGACACTGACTTGTGATAATCTATATAGCAACAGTCAAACCACTGCAAGCTGATTAAAATGCGTTGTTTAGTTTCAGTGTGTGGATGCCCAAGCATGCCACCAACACAGACATAGAGCCGAGCCAAATTGTCATTTTCATGTCAAAATTACCACTTCTAACAAGGCAGAACTTTTTTTTTGTCAAACAGGTATACAAATTACACACAAATTTAAACATGGTTTCATCCAAGTCCTGGCCTTTAAAGCTTTGGGAGCAAAGGACCCAGGGCCAAGTCTAGGAGTGCTCTCATCTGCATGAGAACCAAACAGAATTGTCCCTGGAGCTGACATGCTACCATATGCCTCTGGAGCTAGAGTAATTATATCTAACTACACCTGGATCCAGTTCCATCTGAAAAACCCCCTTCCCTTCAGCTTTGAGCCGCCATTGATGAGACCATCTCAGGGAGGCCAAGAAGAAGACAAGCTCTGATATGAAAAGAACTGGAACATTTGCCTTGAATTTTAATGCCATTTGTACCTTTTTAAAGTTCCTGTGAACTGCTCTGGGTGCCAAATTTGGCTGAAAGGCAAGATTACTAATATAAAGGTGCCCATCTTTCTTTCCCAACTGAGGTAGCAGCAACAATGGTGTGGAAAGAAAGAATTAGCATCCCCTTGCTTATTGCAACAGCCCTGGAACAAATCAGGTTCCACCTGCAATTGCTTTTAAAGGTTTAAAATGTACAAGTGGGGACCTACAAGAAACTTGCAGGAGCGGCTATCCCATTCCTCCCACCTCTGCTTCTTCCCCTCTCCCCCTACTTCTCTCCCCCTCTTTCTCCTTCCTGCCACCCTTTTCTTTCTCTCTCTTCCTCTCCATGCCAGTCACTTCCATTGTGCCCCCACCCCATCACTCTTTCTGCCCGTCACTCTCCCAGCCTTCCACCTACTCTGCCCCCCACAGCAGCAGTGGCAGCAGCTACTCTCCAGGAATCAATACAGATCAGTTCCTCTTAGGTTGCCATCTCCATGTTGGAAAATATCTGGAGATTTGGGGGTGGAGCCTTGGGAGGATGAGGTTTGACCAGGGTATAATACCATAAACTCTACCCTTCAAAGTTGCCATTTTCTCTGAGGGAACTGATTTCTGTCACCTGGAGATCAGTTGTAATTCCAGGAGATCTCCAGCCCTCACCTGGAGGTTGGCAACATTAGTTCCCCTGGAGGAACTGACTGCTATCACGGGTGGAGTCTATGGCATTCCCCACCTCAATCCCCAACATCTCCAGGCTCCACCCCTCAAATGTCCAGGAGTTTTCCAACCTGGAGTTGGCATCCCTATTTCCTTCCCACCCAACAGCCAGCCTACCTTTATCTGCCTTTCTGTCTTCAGCTTTCCATCTCCTTTCCCCTTGCAGCTTCTATTGAGGAAAACTGTGGTCTTTCTTCACAGTGAGGACTAAAGCAATTTACATTATTCTCTCCTCCTTTTTATCCACACAACCACCCTATGAGGTAGGTTAGGCTGAAAGTAGATGACTGGTCCAAAATCACACAGTGAGCTTCCACAGCAAGATGGGGATATAAACCTGGGTCTCACAAACCCTACTCTGAAGCTCTAACCATTATACTACACTGACTTTCATAAGGTGGCTGCTGTTGAGCAGTAGGAAGCAGCCAGGTCTAATTTAATCATGCAAGTCAGGTAGTATCAAGTCACCCAGAGGGTGCTGCTAGGCCTAGGTTTGCCAGCCTCCAGGTAGGACCTGTAAATCCCCCAGAATGACAACTGAACTCCAGACAGCAGAGATCTCTCCCCCTGGAGAACATGGGTGGACTCTGTGGCATTATATCCAGCTGAGGCCTCCCCAAACTCTGCACTCCTCAGACTTCACCATAGAATCGGATTTTCCTATCTGGAGCAGGCAATCCTAGACCCAGGCCATATGTAGCCATTCATACTGCAGGAGGAATCCTTCTCAATCTGAGAGCTCCAATCTTGCTTTTGCTTCCTGCCCTCTCTGTCTCTCTGTCTCTCACTGTTGATGTGGTGGGGCCTGGAGTAGATCCCTGTGGAGGCCATTTCAAAAGGTATTTGGGGGAATTCAACCCTACCTGAGGGTTTGGGGTTTGTTTGTTTTTTTGGATTTTTCTGCACACCCAGAAAGTCCCCTAAGTCTGCAGAAAAACCTGTTGGGGGAAAGTGTGCCCCCTATTGGCAGAAATATGTATCTACAAGCAGAGGGGACTGTTGAGAATTAGATATATAGATAGATTGGGGTATCCTATCATGTGCAGTTTAATGCATAGTTCAACCCTGAGCAAAAGCAGCAGCAGAGTCACTTCATGTAAGTGCATAAGTCCCTTGTCCATCCTATGGGAAAATAATTGCCCCATCCCAACCCATAGTTACACATATCGTGCCAGCCATTATATTTTATAAGTCAACAAAAAGTCATAATGAGTACACAATCTGAAAAACAACACTGAAATTGACTCTGGGGATTAACCTATATAGTAGAAGAAGAAGAAGGAGAAGAAGAAGAAGAAGAAGAAGAAGAAGAAGAGATTGGATTTCTACCCCACCCTTCACTACCCAAAGGTATCTCAGAGCAGCTTACAAACTCCTTTCCCTTCCCCTCCCCACAACAGACACCCTGTGAGGTACGTGGGGCTGAGAGAGCACTGACAGAAACTGCTCTTTTTCAAGAACAGCTCTTATCAGAACTACGGCTTGCCCAAGGTCATCCAGCCAGGTGCAAGTGGAGGAGTGGGGAATCAAACCCGGTTCTCCCAGATTAGAGTCCGCACACTTAACCACTACACCAAACTGGCTAAAACCACTACACCAAACAAAATAAAATCTATTTAAGAGAAACCTAGATCAATTTAAATAAGGTGTTCAGTGAACCTCTCCAAAAGAAGCATCTCCAAAACTACTAGTGAGGAATATTGGTACTCACTCTGATATTGGTGACAAGCCAGTGTCTCCAGTAACGGTATTTTGGATTTGCTCGACTAGGGGCATCTGGATCCACCACGATCAGAACGTACTGCTTATTCTGCAAAAGGAAATAGAAAGATGGTCTTAGCTAGCAAGGAAGTTAAGAAAGGAAACTTTCCTAGAAAAACAGCTATAATTCATCCACTTTCCTCTGCCGACACTACCCCCAGGTCTGCATCATACTTCTTATTCCTTTGCCAGAACAGTTACTACATACAGAGAGGTAATTCTAATAGAAGCAACGGGATACGGTCAAGGAGAAAAGAGAATAAATAATTTATGTCAATTTTTGCAAAAGAACTCCTCTCATTTGAAAAGGCCATATATGATGCTGTGGGGAAAAAGGAGGTGGGCAAACAAAATGTAATATGGTTTAAGAAACCTGGAATTTCAGTACATGATGTATGAAAAGGATTTGGGTTTTTTTATTTAAGACATGGTTTCAGCAGTGCCATTGAGCATATATAAATAGATGTTTCTTACTGGTGATACATTATGGTATACCTAACGTCAAACCATCAGGCAGGACAGGAAAACAATATTTCTAATTCTTCAAAGATAGTGATGGAAAAAATAACCCCCGAAACTTTTTTTTTTTACAGGGGGAGACTTGATGCCTTCTCCAAATGTCTGGAGATTTACTAGCTTATACAACAGACTTCAAACATATTGTTGCCTTTCCTAGAGCCCTTCTGACTGAGGGGGGGAGTATCTGTAAGGAATATTGAAAAAAACCAGTGAGGCTGCTGGGAAGACAACAAGAAAATAGTCCCCCCCCGGGGGGGGTACACACTACACGGAGGATTTAGGGACATGAGGGGATCAGGAAGAAGGATTGCTTTGGTAGAAGGTGGCGTGATGTCAGATGGGCTAGTGAGTATATGAGATATAGTAGAGGAAGACGTGACCTCACACAGGGCCTACGGACAGGGAAAAGACTGGCTTGATGAAAGGACAGTAGCTTCACATAAGGCCAAAGGACAGGAGAAGGTTAGGAGGAAGACTGGTATGATAGAGGGTGTTATGTCCGCTGACTGCCACCAGGGGCCAGCGAATACCCCAGAGCTTGGGACCATGGCGGGAGATTTAAACCCACCAACGGGACCTAGGGGGCGTCCCCAGGTGTGTATATAGTTGGCCAGCCGGCCGTTAGTCTTTGTCTTTGTTGTGTACCAGTAAACCATGCTGATCACTACATCAGTCTCAGTGGTTTCTACATGCGTCTAACCCACTACACTTCAGAGTAGGGTTGCCAAATCTTTTAAACTCACCGGCGGCTTCGGGGGCGGGGTTCCCCCCGGGGCCCAATTCCGCCGCGGCAGAAATTGGGCCTCTGAAGTGGGGGATTCCCCGCCCCCCGGGCACATTTGGCAACCCTACTTCAGAGGGCATACTGACCTTACACAGAACTCATGGACAGATTAGGGTTGGAAGGAAGATTGGTTTGGTGAAGAGACTGAGTGATCCCACATAAGAACTGTGGACAGGAAGGGGTTGGGAGGAGGACAGTCGAGGACTAGGATTGTCAACAACTCCTGATATCTTGATGGACTCCTTGGTGGCAGAAAGTGCTGTCAAGTCGCAGCTGACTTATGGTGACCCTGTGGGGATTTCAAGGCAAGAGATGTTCAGAGGTGGTTTGCAATTGGCTGCCTCTGCATAGTAACCCTGGACTTCCTTGGTGATCTCCAATCCAAGTACTAAGCAGGGCTGACGCTGCTTAGCTTCAGAGACAAAATCTGCTTAGCTTCAGGGACAAAATCAGGCCAGACTGGGTCACACAGGTCAGGGCAAGGGACTCCTTGGAAAATGTAAGTAGACCCCAGACTAGGGGCTTAACTGCACCTGATGACTGAAGCTCCCTGAAAATATTTCCAACCTGTTTGAAACTGCAGACTGAGGGTGGGCACCTTTTCGGGAGCCCACCAAGTGCTTTTAGAAAGTGGGTAGGGTCAAGTGGAGGGCTGCGGTGGCTCAAGTGGTTAAGACACTGAACTGCAGACCGGAAGGTCGGTAGTTCAGCAGTTCGAGACCTGAGTGCCGCATGATGGAGTGAGCTCCCGTCTCTGGTCCCAGCTCCTGCCAACCTAGCAGTTCAAAAGCAAGAAATTGCAAGTAGACTCTTGAGAGTCCCCTGGACTGCAAGGAGATCAAATCAGTCAATCCTAAAGAAATCAACCCTGACTGTTCCATGGAAGGCCAGATACTGAAGCTGAAGCTCAAATACTTTGACCACCAAATGAGAAGGGAGCACTCACTGGAGAAGACCCTGATGCTGGGAAAGATTGAAGGTCAAAGAAGAAGGGGACAGCAAAAGATGAGATGGTTAGACAGTGTTATTGAGGCAACGAACATGAAATTAAGCAAACTCCGGATCACAACAGAAGACAGGAGGGCCTGGCGTGATGTGGTCCATGGGGTCGCAAAGAGTTGGACTCGACTATGTGACTGAACAACTACAAAATAGGTACTGCTTCGGTGGGAAGGTAACAGCATTCCGTGCACCTTGGCGCTTAGTCATGCCGGCCACATGGCAATGGAAACGTCTTCGGACAGCGCTGGCTCTTCGGCTTGGAAACGGAGATGAGCACTGCATCCCTAAAGTCGGATTCGACTGGCTTTCGAGCAAGGGAAACCTTTACGTTTACCTAGGGCCAAGTGGGGCTTTTTGTGTTTTTGATGTTTATGGTATAACAGAGACAGACAGAGGTTTTGCATCAGGTATTTTACCTGTGCAAAAAGCTGAATGATATTCTAAAAATTAAGTAGGACTGAATTCTGTCTAAACTTGATTGGGCTGCATCTTCCCAATTTTTATGTCTTTTTATAATTCAGGTGGAATTTGGTAACATCACTACATCCACTTTTGTTCACTTTTCAAAAATCATTTATGTTCCTATCAAAATCTGGCCAGAATCTCTCTCTTAATATACATGAGCAAGGAGCACCAACTATCATTGTTACAAGTAATAGAGCAGGTTAAAAATGCTTGGGCTCATGAGAGGGCTCATGTAAAAGGGATAGCCCAGAGAAGAAACATTTTTTCCTTTTCATTTCTTAGCAGAACATGTATACTTATTTTGAGTTTATGTAAGAAAGTGTTTTAAATACATTAATTGTAAAAGGCATCCCATTAAACGACGATTCTACCTGAAATGTTGAAAAACTACTATCAGAATGATGTATAACCTTACTCCTTGACATTTTGTGGTTGGCTCCACCTATTATGGTAGCCATTTTATGATTAGCTCTACCTCCCATGGCAGTAGGGTTGTCCACTGTGGGTTGGGACATGTGTTCCCTCTAAGCTGAGTCAGTGTGAACTAGCTTACAGTTTTTTAGCCTCCGGCTCACACATTTTTGTCTTGGCTCAGGAAGGATGGCTCCGGAGCAAACTGATTTATGCAGCAGCCCAATGGCTCGCTCACAACTTTAATGCCAGTAGCTCACAAAGTAGAATTTTTGCTCATGAGACTCCACAGCTTAGAGGGAACATTGGTTGGGACATGTGTTCCCTCTAAGCTGAGTTAGTATGAACTAGCTTGCAGTTTTTTAGCCTCTGGCTCACACATTTTTGTCTTAGCTCAGGAAGGATGGCTCCAGAGCAGACTTGCTCACCATGTTAATGCCAGTAGCTCACAAAGTACAATTGTTGCTCACAAGAATCCACAGCTTAGAGGGAGCATTGGTTGGGACATTCCTGGAGATTTGGAGGTGGATTCTGGGGAAGGAAGGGTATATGACCCTGTACCAAACACCACCACCCAGCCTGAGCCTGCCAGCGGAAGGATCATTGCTGACTGTAATCTATATGTTTACTGCTACTATTGCACCGCCATCGTCATATAAATCGTTTTTAGTAATCATGTTGTGTTTTATGAGGCTATTTATTTTGATGTTTTTATCTGTTAATAATTTGTTGCAATTTTATGTAGGCTGCCCTGAGCCTGCTTCGGCGGGGAGGGCAGGGTACACATCAAATCAATTAATTAAATAAATAATGCCATAAAGTCCACCCTCTATAGTAGCCATTTTCTCAAAGAACTGATCCCTGTAGTCTAGAAATTATTCGTAATTCCAAAAGATCTCCAGGCCCCGCCTGGAGGGTGGCAACCCCACCTGGCAGCCATTTTGCGGTTGTGCCCACCACCTTGTGTTAGACTCCCCCCCCCGTATTTGTATGTGTGTGTGTGTGTGTGCCTGTGCCTGTGCCTGGAAGTGATGGCGACTTCTGGTGACTTCTGGGGCATGGAGGACATTCAGAGAAGTGGCTTGATAGCTTGCCTCTGGCCTCCCGGCCCTGGTGTTCTCTGAAGGTCTCCCGTCCAAATACTTGCTAGAGTTGCCTCTGCTTAGCTTCTAAGATCTGACAAGATCGGTCAGGACAGGGCACCTTGTGTTAGACTTCTGAAGGTCCCTATGGGCTAAAAAAAGTTTGGGGACTACTGATCTAAATCAGCCGCTATGGGACTGCTATTTGCCCCAAAGGGAAAACATACAGGTAGAAAGTAGGTACCTGTATTTCTCCTCCTGCTGTGGGGGCACAGAGCAGGTAGGGGGGTCTGCGACTACAAAGGCAGTCGGGAAACAGCTATGGTCCCTTCACACAAAGATCTCAATCCAAACTGAGGGTCCCTGGGGCTACTATTCTAGTTTTAAAGTTGCAAGAGGTCCATTCACTGATCTCTCATTAGCATATTTAATTAAGGCCTTTCTTTGCTTTCTGGATCATGGATATTCCAAGGGAGCAAGTGCTCCTGTAATCAAGGTACCCATTTTAACACCACACATTTATAATTGTGATGCTAGATGTTTAATATCTATTTAAAGTAAAGATAAAGGTTTCCCTTGCTCGAAATCCAGTTGAATCCAACTCTAGCGGGCGGTGCTCATCTCCATTTCCAAGCTGAAGAGCCAGCACATGTGTCCAGCACGACTAAATGCCGAGGCGCACAGAACACTGTTACCTTCCTATCAAAGTGGTACCTATTTATCTACTTGCAATTTCTTGCTTTCGAACTGCTAGGTTGGCAGGAGCTGGGGCCAGAGATGGGAACT